ACAGTCGTACAAAGCGTAAAACTCATTCGAAAATAGCTCTCAAACGGTAAGAGACCTTTGTTCCAAATGGCCTGACCTGAGAAGCCACTTAAGCAAAAAACGGCTTCATGGAATTTAAGCGTACGAACCGCTAATGCTACTAAGTTAACAGCTTATTAACATGCTTTGGCGTAAGAACCGACAGGGCCAGTTACTGAAACTGTTGGTGACGAATGAGACAATGCTCTAACCAGCAAAATCATATCCAGCATCCAGCAGTGCATGTGCTCAAATAAAACGGAGCTACGATCTGCATAAATGGTCCTTTAGGCAACTAAGAGGTGCAATATCACATGAAATAAAAGTTTTGAGAAAGTTAAGTACGGGATGACAAAGAATTACAATTATTCCATCATGACGGAATCGTAAATAATTTTGAATGACAGTTCCCACTTGTTGGCTTAAAACTGTGGATTTCGCCTAAGCCCAGCCCTAAGAGGAATGATGGAAAAATTGACTGCACGGTGAACAGTTGTGTTCAAATACGAACATACAAAGCAACTCGATAGTGGATTTTCTTAGGTCATTTTTCCGCACCGTGCTCCCCTACTGTCTCCGTAAATAGATTGCGGTCAATTTATAAGGGCATGTGTCATTTACAGGTAACGCTCTGCTATGCGGCAACCTGTCTATGTTACGCGCGAACTCTTTGCGAAGCCACAAAGCAGATGGCCGAAGGGCAGACGATTCAGATATAAATTATACAACACTATTTAGAGTTTGCTTTAGAATTTAGCAAGTGAAACCGACCACACTGCGAACAATCGAAACGCTGAAAAACCTCCTAGTCGCTGCTTCGCAACCTCAAACAAATCTGAAGATAAACGAGCAGAAAAACCACCCCTTGCTTTCTGAACAACCTTGCTGTTATTCTACTCAATCGTGCGCCCATACTTTACTGAAGGAACACTCTTCAGTGATGGCATGCCGTACAGTTCTAGCGATTTCAATCTGACCAAACGAGACTGTCAATAAACGTCGCGACCCGAATGTTAAACTGAACACGATCTTATTTATTCACACTTTATCGCAACCTTGCATTCTGTTGAGAATGATCTACTACAAAACAGCCTTCCTAGGGTCACAACAAATCGATTCTTGCAAAGAAAAGTAAGCATTCAGTTAGAGAACCTTCTCACCTTGTTGGACATCTGAGATATTAACAGGAGAATAAGCCAGGAAACGCCCGTCTTCAGTATTTAAGTGGATAACAGACAGCCTAACGTGTGTGGAGCAATGTCCCTTCCTCGGGAAGTCGCGGAACTCGTCAAGATGCAACAAACCCGAGGTTATTCATTGGCTTCTTTCTGTTTCTGTCATGAACTCTTACACTCTGGTCATGGAACGCGCCTAAATACAGGCCTACCTATCCTGTTTTGTTTGTGCTGTTGTATGGAGCCGAGATCTAGCGTTAGAGAAGAGAGACATCAGCAACCATCAGGCTTTCTACGATAGGACTCAAAACGGCTCCTCAACATCTCAAGGTAAGACGTCGTTCAGAACACGATCGTCACAAAACTCACCGAACTGACATCCACTGCTGACATAATCGGCTGACGCAGAACCACCTGCGCCACTGCATGCAGAAGTTCTTGAACACGGTACTCTCACAACGACTGTATGAAGTAGCAATAGAGCCCCGGCTTAGTCTTTCTAACGAGGAGTAGAAAGCAGATGACGACCTGCACAGAAGACAGCTTTCTCAAGCAGACCCACTGACATGGAACGGTTTAACACATGACGATGACCACCAGCAAATGACGATGATGAACGACTGACAGGATGTCGGGCATAACAAATAAATGTAACTGAAGACTGGCGTTACCATGAACGCAACGCTAATATTTGCTCACACTCTTTGTACAAGGCTTTGAACGCTGACGCTTACGGTGGTCGTCCCTAAAGCATGGATCGTCACAAATGAGCAACATTCTGAAACCGGAGAGAACAATATGAAACCCGTGTAACGTGCGAAAAACCGTAAAAGAGTGCAACCAAATTACAAACCTGCGATCAATCCAGGTGCCGGTTGTACAGATGGTATGACGGCGAACGGCGAGGCGGTGGTAGCCGGTGAGAGAACGGGCTGCGTTGTGACCGGAGTCGGACTGGTTTGAGAGAACGAATTTGGAGAGAGGCTCATCAGCAAGCTGCTGTTTGACGCAGGAGCCGGCGAAGGGGTGAGAAGGCCAACGCCGGAGTGCGACAACGGCGAAGGTGACATCGAACTGCCAACGTTTTGCGACGATGTGACCACTGCCGGGGACATCACGGGTGGCATGGCGGAAGCGACGGCAAATGCAACGCCAGCTGGCGTCTGACCGATTACACTACCGGACGAAGGCAACGGAAAAGACGCCGGTGATGAAGTCTTATTGTCGAGATAGCACTGAAATCGGTATCAGATGTACAAGGAGTTAACGCACGACACTGTTTTAAGAAACTGGTGTCATAGGTCGAAAAGACTTCAGCCAAAAACATATAGCGTACCCCTTCGCAGCCTACGCTTTTCTTTGCAGAAACGGTGACGGCAAACATTGGGATGTTGCACCCTGTTTCGTTTCAACGGAACAAGGATAAACGAACGGTAGTATGACTAATTTAATCCACTCATTTGGAAACCGTTCAGAACACCAGTTCAGAAAAAGCAATGGGTCAACTTCACTTGGAATTAACTTTCTCAATGATCGAAATGAAAGCAAAATTAAACTACTGGCGAAATAGATTACATTCAGTTTATTCTTTCAGACGACAAGGTTATCAGCACAAAGTAGTGTTTTCATGCCAATAAGTTAAATGGCAACTATGAACAAATTACATGCAAAGAAATGAAAAAGTCCATATCGCTCTAAACGTAGTGACGCGAAACACTGTGCAGTCATTTGTTTCTGCCCTTCCAAAACTTTGAAAGTCCTGTAAATGAAATGCAGAACTGGTCTGTGGTACAATTCCGTACGTGCGTGGATGGCAGTTACTGATCGTCAGATACCAGGATGAATTGAAACCGCCTCCAGAAACAGTACGTATAATGGATAGATGATGTCATTCAACAACATTCACCTGGTTACTTGGAAGACTATACTCGCTGAATACCTATAGCCAGCAAAACGAAATATCTAACCTGTAAGTCAGTTCGTTTGGAAAATCTAGTACATCGTTTGCCTTAGTAAATGATACTGTTCTTCCTTGTTTCACTCATCTTGCATTATAATAGTTTTCTTCAGAAACAGACCTCTAGTTCGATGGCTGAAGCCAATCATATAGAAGAAATGTTTATTTCAAAACAAATGTATTGGAGAGCATGGATATAGAACCTCTTCACAATCAATGCACAAAAGCAAAGAAACAACTTAACATAATTATAACTCGAGTATATCACAGGCCCACGCAATGAATGTAATCGCTAACTTACCAACCTCTATATGCACTGTATTATTTATTTATTTAAAATATCTCATTTAATAGCAGTAAGCACAAAGAAAATTGAAATTTTTCGACAGTTAAGCAAACATATGGTTGACAGTCGATTATTAACACTTTCGACTTTTTCGGCGCCTACAAGGTTTTCATAAGAAGACTTTGTCTTATGCGTATTTACTGCATTGACGACTTCTTACTACCTACCTTTTTACTTATTTACCTACTTACTTACTTACTTGAGAATAAATTCTTAAACGGTAGTCAACACCCGGAAATAAGCTTCTTAACTAATCAGACGCTTTCGCAGACTGAGAACAATGTTCTTTTATCAGCGTGACAAT